TATATTAACTTATAAAGATAGTTTTATATATCTAGCTATATTTAAGTATTTTTAAATATTTAAATAAGGTATTAGATAAGGTTTATAAAATTAAAGTTATTATATAAGTTACTAATAGCTTAAAAAAAGTAGATCTATTATTATTTATTTTTTAAGATTATATTTATTATAATATATTATATTATCTTTTTAAAGCTAATTAGCTTTATAAAATTATTAATTTTATATTTAATAAAAAGATAGTTTAAAAAAAATATATTTAGCTTACTATTTTACCTTAGCTATAATAATACTTTTTACTTAACTTAGTTTTTTAAGATAATATTAGTAAAAATATTAGTAAGAAGCTATTAGCTTTCTAATTTAAATTAAAAAAAAAGCTATTATATTAGATAAAAATATATTAGAAATATTAGTAATTTAAATTATAATAATTACTTACTAGATTAATTAAATAAATTTACTACTTTTAAAGAAGATATAGCTTACTTACTAGATCTAAAGATATAATATTAATAACTATAATAATAACTTAATATAAAATTATTTTTTTATTATATCTAATATTTAATAATATATAGTTAAATAATATATTATAAAATATAAAGTATTTTTATAAATATATTTTTATAAATAAAAAAATTAGTAAAATTATTTAATAGAAAAAGAAAAAAAACTAGATTATAAAAGTAGTAAATAAGCTCTCCTTATCTACTATAATAGAACTTATAAGAATTTATACTTATATACTATAAGTATTATTTACCTATAGATAGTATTATTTTTAGATAATTAAGATAGAAGCTAGTTCTAGTTACTAATAACTATAGCTACTAAATAGTAAAGTTACTATTATATTAGTAATTACTATTTCTAGGAAAAGAAAAATATTTTTAGCTAGTATTAAGCTAGCTCCCTACTTTTATAAAGTATAGATCTTTTATATATAACTAAGTTATCTTAGTAGTAAGTCTTACATTATAGTATATTCTTATTTATATTTTATAATATTTAATTTAATTTTCTTTTTAATATTTATAATTTTAATAAATTTAATATAAATAATTATTTTTAAATAATTAATTAATAAAAATTTTTATAAATAATTAATTTAAATTTTTTTATTAAATTAAATAATATATTATTAAATTATTTTAAAATATTAT